TCTAGGCCCGAAACATCAGCCTTCCTGCTCCTACGATGCTGCTTGGCCTGCTGTGTTCATCCAGCTCTACACCTTGTTATCTCTGATTCTCCAGCATCTGCAGTTCCTACTATCTCTGTGAATTTAATTCTTTGGGTCTCAACTGCATGGTTCCTGAGTTTGTGCATCTCCTATTTTAAATATAGCAGTCCACATCTAAATTATATTGCATATAATCCAAAGACCTGCTGACGAACTATAGTCCACTAAATTGATCTGCTCACAGAATCCCTAAAAGTGTGGAAACAGGCCATTCGGCCCATCAAGTCCACACCAACCCTGCAAAGAGCATCCCACTCAGACCCATCTCCCCAGCCTACACCTGTAACCCTATATTCCCCATGGCTAACCCACCTAGCCTGCCATACCTAGACACTACGGGCAACTTAGCATGGCCGATCCCACTAACCTGCGTACCTTTGGACTGTGGGAGGAAACCGGAGCACCTGGAGGAAACCCACGCAGACACGGGGAGAACATGCAAACTCCACATAGACAGTCGCCCGAGGCTGGAATTGAGCTTGGGTCCCTGCCGCTGTGAGGCAGCAGTGCTAACCACTGAGCCACTGTGCCTTCTCTCAAATAACTGACAATCCACTCCTCATGTTGTCCCTTGTGAATAATGATTAGGTTTGCTGATTCAGTCTGTCTTCCTGATTGAGCATATATGAAATACACTCTGGAAGCTGCATCTCCCCTCTTGACATCAAACAGCGCTTGAGCTCAGCAAAACAAGCACACTCTGGGAAACTGTAGACCACCACAGTTACACATAGAGCACATGTTGATTTCCTGCACGCTCGCAGCTCACATCTCTACTTCCTTGACATAAAATAGCAGGGAAGGTTAGCACAAATTCCTAATATGGATTCCAGCATTTACCAGTAAGATTGCAACTCTGACGTTTTGTGTTAATATATGAGCCTTCAATATTCATGATAATGTATCCATATTACACACAGACATTGAAATGACAAGCAGCAGGTTTTACCTGTGACTGGGCATTAATGTTCGCTCCATTTGTTACAAGGACATGTACAACTTCCGCTTGTCCAGCTAAGGATGCAATATGGAGAGCGGTATTTCCTTTCTGAAAGAAAAAAGTCAAAGTGTTAGGGATTAAGAGAGTCTGACCCAGTGCAAACACAGCAAAGAATATCTGCTAGGCAGCTGTATCATTGTTCATAAGATTGGCAGCTCAAATCCAAGGTATGACCAATGAAACATCCACGGGAAATCTCTAGTATACTCCCTATAAACCAAATATCAGAAAGTCTCTGTGCTTTGTTTCATTCTACAGTATTAAGTGGGCGAAGAAATTCAGACTCCTCACCCCATCAATATTATCATCCTGATGATGATGGCAGTAATGTGATTGGTTTCTATCAATGGAGAACTTTTATAAGCTCTGTAGTGATGATTAATCGCCATCAATGAGCCTATGACTACGCAACAAATCCAATATCATTGCAATTACAGAACAGCAGGATGATTAAAGGTAGATCGAATGGGTCTTGCTCTTTTATTGTCTTGCAATTCTGGTGCTCCTGTTACTAAGTCAATGACTTTATAAGTCAGATGGATTTCTGTTGAACTTTGCAGCATTAACATAGGGTAAAGTCGCCATAGTCCCTACAGGATCATAATCCTGTGCTCTCATTACAGGTAATTCTGCTATAATGCATGTTTCATTAACGCAAATTGGCTGTAACGCAATTGATGAATAGCGGACACTGTTTGGATAACGCAACCTTTCTGCCGTACAGATGTAGCGATTTCCCTATAACGCGATTTTCCAGAGTGTGATGTCATGTAACTGTTGCCTTTTTGGAGAACTACCTGTAGAGCAAGGTGACTGGTGGTGGTTTAACCTGGGGGTTACCACACCTCAGCCGTGGGGAGAGGTTGAGAAGGAGAATCCTTCATGGTAACCTCAGTGCAGGGACTGAACCCACGCTGTTGGTGTTACTCTGCATTGCAAACCAGCCATTCAGCAAGTGAGTATTAATACAGTTCACCTAAAGGACCAGATTAATTCAAATACATCAAAAAGCAGGCACGCTTTGGAGGAAGTCTCAAGAGTTTTATGGTCCAAAAATAAACTCTTGAGGGTTTATAAGAGGTCAATCTAAGTTGATCCAAACATGACACGTTTCCATGATTAAAAGCCATGATTTGGATTTACTCAGTTGCTACATTGCGTTTTGTATCTCTCTGTGTATGTTTGTTTGAATTTAACACCAGCTCTTCTGTGTATTCAAATGCACAGCCTTCAGTCTATCAGCATGTTCCAGATGCAGAAATGGTGGGCCCACATCTCTGTAAGGGTGCTAGCCGCCAGGACAGGGAGGGACCAAGTCAGCAGGCGGAGCTAGCGGGCTGGTCGGTTGCCTGACGAGGAAGTCAGGAGATGAGCAGGTTTATCAAAGCAGCAGGAAGACGATACAGCAGAAAAATACAAATGTTCACTGCCTCTCCTGCTTCATTTATCAATTAATGAATGATAGGTCCTTAGAATGGAAACTGAGATGGATTCACATCAAATTGCTGTTGGAACAGGTATTTTGAGCTCTAGCATAATGCAGCGTGACTTCAACAGAATCATTCAACATTTATCAGAACACTGGAGCAGCAAGAGGCCATTCAACCCTGATATGCCATTCAGTTGCATCAAGGTCGATCTAAATAGGAACTCCATTAATCCATCTTAAGTTCCGAATTCCTTGATTCCTTTACTGAAAGATTTAGTCATTTCAGTCTTGAAAGCTTCAGAGAACTATAGGTCGGGTAATAATGGCAGGAGATAATGTAGCAGAAAATCATCCAGAAACAGAACAAAATACAGAACAGTTAGCACACATTTCAAAAGAGAAGGCGTCGACCTTATTGATTTTTTTTTGAAGAAGTGACAAAAAGAACAGATGAGGGTAATGCATTAGGTGTCATACACTCAGATTTTTAAAAGAGCTACAATGATGTACTGCACAATAAACTCATGACTAAGGTCAGAGCTTTTGGATTTAAAGGACAGAGAGCAGACTGATAGCAAGCTAACTACTAAACTGAGAATGGAGATACAGGATTTAAGGTAAGTGCTCAGGTGGCATTAAGAGGACAGCGATATTCACAGGGACCAGTGTTAGACTCTCAGATGCTCACAATTTACCTTAAGAATTTGGATTCTGGAACCAGTAAGGCACTTTCCATTACAAACGTAACAGAAGATTGTGTTTTTAACTCTGTTTAGTGTCTAACTCACTTTAGTGAGAAGTGACCAAGAACGGCAGATGCTGGAGTCAGAGATAACAAGGTGTGGAGCTGGATGAACACAGCAGGCCAGGCAGCATCAAAGGAGCAGGACAGTTGTCGGTTTGGGTCAGGACCCTCCTTCAGAATAGTCTTGATGAAGGGTCCCGACCTGAAATGTCAGCTTTCCTGCTCCTCTGATGCTGCTTAGCCTGCTATGTTCCTCCAGCTCCACACTGTGTTCACTCACTTTAGTGAGAGCTTTATCCTTAACTACACTCCATCAAACTCACACTCCACTGATTAATGAGCCCCCACATTTATACAACCAATTCACACCAAAATAATCCTTCATTAATATATCCAATACTTGTTCCCTCATTCCTGTGGGCAGTCACAGTGTGGAAGCAGGCCATTCGGCCCATCGAGTCCACACTGATCCGCTCAAAGAGCATTCCACCCTGACCCATCCCGCTACCCTTTCCCTGTAATCCTGCATTTCCCGTGGTTAATCCACCTAACCTGCATATCCCTGAACACTATGGGCACTTTAGCATGGCCAATCCACCTAAACGGCACATCTTTGGACTGTGGGAGGAAACCCACACAGACAGTCACCCGAGGCTGGAATCAAACCTGGGTCCCTGGCACTGTAAGGCAGCAGTGCTAACTGCTGAGCCACCGCGCAGCCCTTCAGTCCTTCTGACTTCAGTAGATGAGAATAAGAGAGGCATTGAAGAAGGTTAGTGAACAGTGTTTATAACAATGATACCAGAACCCAGTGGTTATAAGTATCAGGAAAGTCTGAACAGGCTGAATTTGTTCTTCTCCAGAAAAGAAACAGAGCTGAAGGGTGGCCAGATGGAAGGCTTTAAAACGTTAAATGAATTTGAGATACTAGACGTATTTAAGATGTTTCCACTCATAGGGATTTAGCGGTTGGGGTCATTAACACACGGTAGTCACCGACAAGCCATTAGAAATTCAAGAGGAAATGTGTCAGACAAACAGCAGCAAAAGTGTGGAACTTGAAGGTAAGATAAGTAACGTAGATGTACTTAAAGGAAACCTAGGCAGGTCCATGAGGCTGAAAAGACCAGAAGGATGTGCTGATAGAGTTAAGTGAAGAGGAGTTCCACATGGAACACGCCACTTTGTGCTGAATTGGCCTGGATTTTCCGCAGGGTAGCAGTCATTGCCGGATTGTTATTCCTCTTCAATCTTCTCCTGCCTCAATGCCTCTGCCTAATCTTTGCTCGGTCTCCTGAATCAGCCTTTATCAGAAATCTTGGGGAATGTCGCCCCAGAACTCTAACAGGACATGTCGCCCCTGTAGCTGCCATTAGGTAAATTGAAAAGTCCCCTGTGAATGTTAGAGAAGGGGTGGTTGGGTGCTACGATGGGGTAGCAGGTGGTAGCTGGATAGGGTGGGTAGGACAGTGGGGGCATAATAAGGGAATAGGTAGGTGAGTGAGGTACAAGATGGGTAGAGTGATGAGGCTGTGGGGTGACAGGTGAGTAGAGTGACAGAACGGATGCAGGTGGGCGAGGTGCCAGGTGGGTGGTGGTAATTGGGTAAGGTTTGGGTGAGGGGTGTGGGTGAATGGTCAGGGAATATTGTTGGGACCCTGAACTGCCCAACACCCCTAATGGTGGGTGTGTTATCTATCCAAGTGGGCAGAGCTTCAGCTTAGCTCACACATTAACTCTTTCATATCCATTAGCTCACAATAACAGCCTCGTGTCCAGTGCCAGAACAATTCCCCTCAAACTACCTCATCTGTACCTTTACTTCTGAAGCCCAAGGACTGCCTCTCTACTATAGCCCAAATCCCCCAAGCGACGGTCACTATGTGAGGCCATTCCTGAAGTCCGCATTGAGAACTTGAATTCCTCATTTGACTCTGCATCAAATTTCAATTTCAATGGGTTTCTGCATTACCCCACATTCTAAACAAACACGAGGGTATGGTTCATGATTTGATCACAGGCCTTGACTGCTCACAAAGCCTCAGGAAGTGCTCCACTGAGACCTTCCCACCTATTGCCAAGCCAAAGACTTTCAGAACCTATTGGTGCAAACCAATAGAGATCAATCCTTTCTTAACAAAGCGAGCAGCGTCACTGATCACCCACTAGGTCACACTCTTACCTTGGTCGCTGCGTCCACATTCGCACCGAGCTGGATCAGTTCAGAAACAACCCCGATGTGACCCTCCTTCGAAGCAAGGTGAAGAGCATTCAAGCCATTCTGTAAAACAACAACAAACTGAGTTACACCAAGAGGCATCCACATTAACAGATCCGTTTATAGGAGCATGGGGACGTGAGAGCATCATCCAGCCTCTCGACTCTTGGCCCACCATTCAATTAACATAGAAACTGAAGCAGGAGTAGGCCATTCGGCCCACTGAACCTGTTCTGCCACCATTCAAATAGATCCCAGCTAATAGATAAAGTGAACAGTCAAAGTCTTTTTCCAAGGGTAGGGGTGTCCACAAATAGAGCACATAAGGTTTAAGGTGAGAGGGTAAAGATTTAAAAAGGACCTGAGGGGCAACTTTTTCACACAGAGGGTGGAGCTGCCAGAGGAAGCGGTGGAGGCGGTTACAATTACAAAGAGACATTTGGACAGGCACATGGATGGGAACCCAGGTTCGATTCCACCCTCAGGTGTGGGGTTTGCACATTCTCCCTGTGTCTGCGTGGGTTTCCTCTGGGTGCCCCGGTTTCCTCCCACAGTCCAAAGATGTGCAGGCTAGGTGGATTGGCCATGATAAATTGCCTATGAGAATTGCAGGATTACTCGGATAGGATGCGGGGGTGGGTCTGGGTGGGATGCTTTTTGGAGGATTGGTGTGGACTCGATGGGCCGAATGGCCTGTTTCTATACTGTAGGGATTCTGTGATGATTTTAAAGCATCTCATTTACTGTGAATTACATTAGATCTTTGACTGTTACAGACACAGCCGCATTGGTCAATGGAAACATATTTAGGGTGATGGCTTTTTGTGCTTGGAAGTGTGTGTCAGTTGTTTCGAAAAAACATTTGTTGCTATCTAATGCCTGTTGCCTTGTCCCAATTTAAACACTTTGGTGTCTAGGAAGTCAATATTTTGCCTGTGTGTTGTGGTTTTACGTGGTGAGGACTGTTGCAGATGTTTCTGGATTCTTCTCATTTTGCTTCTGTGTGAGTCCAAATAACCCATATGTCAGGACAAATACAGAGGATATTATTACTTCCTGACTACATCAACTCATGAAGGAGTTAGTGAGAATGAAAACAGAACCGCTGGAAACCAAAAAGTAGCCCTCAGGAGAAATATATTTTGGACCTTACATGACTCTGTACTATCCTCTGAAATAGCTGAGCACACAGTTGCCAAGAACACAAGTCATGACCATCTTTTCAAGGGACATTCAGGTTTATGAATAAATACTGGTCTAGTCAGCATCTAATTAATTGTACAAAGACCTGCACTGGGTCTATTTCATCCGATATAGTCAACTTCAAAATCCTAATTCTCACTGCCAAATCCTTCATGGCCTCAGGTCATTTGACTTCTGTTCTTACCCCTACCACACATTACAGTCCCATTGCCCTAGTCAATTGAGATGAGTGTTGGAGCAAAATTTCTTCCTTTATCACCCTTCACAGTGGACTATTCAATGATCTTTCTGTGCTGTCTTGAAGTCAACTCCCAACATTTTGCACTTCTTTCTATATATTTATAAACTTCAAATTAAATCATTGCAAAGAAACTTTTGCTCACTGCTCCCTCCATCACTTACCACCTCGTTTTACATCCATGAAATGTGGCGGGATTCGTTCTATTTTAAAGGTATTGACAATTTGTGGCATAGCTGGTCTCCCTCTGATTTATCGACAAATGTCAGACTCTTACGGAGATGAAAGTCAGCTTGTTGGATTAACGTGTTCAGCGTTATATCACCCCCTTTTATTCTTCAGATGCTCACAGTCCCAAAGGAGAGAGATGTACATCTACAATTGCAGCTCAACAGTGCCAGGTTCACCTTTTGCTTTTTAAATAGTTGCTTTTTCAGCAATGACTGGGCCTGCCGTGAAGGATGTTACTCTGCACTGATATGAAAATGTACTCCCCGTTACGCATGTGTCGAATCTGCCAGAATGGAAACCACAAAATAGCTGTCCAATCTGGTCTTACTGCTTCGCATAAAAGGGACTGCATCAAATCTGAAACATATCACTCTCACTGGCAAGGTATTTGGAAAGTCATTTTGAATATTCTGTGCTGATCTAGTCTGTACTGCAATGTACCTTTGCTATTGGGTGCCTCCCCCTCCTGCTTCATGTCCCTGTCCCTCAACAACCTCTATCTTCCTCTTTCCTATGAACCTGTAGCATTTTTGGTTAGTAACTTATGGAATTCTAGGACACATGAATATAGAGTCATAGAGATGTACAGCATGGAAACAGACCATTCGATCCAACTTGTCCATGCTGACCAGGTATCCTAAATTAATCTAGTCCTATTTGCCAGCATTTGGCCCATATCCCTCTAAACACTTTCCATTCATGTACCCATCCAGATGCCTTTTAAATGTTGAAATTGTACCAGCCTCCACCATTTCCTCTGGCAGCTCATTCCATACACATACCATCCTCTGCGTGAAAAAGTTGCCCCTTTAGGTCCCTTTCAAATCTTTCCACTCCCACCTTAAACCCATGCCCTCTGGTTTTGCACTCCCCTACCCTTAAGAAAGCTGATGACCATTATACCATTGCTGATTGTCAGAAAAACCTATCTGGGTCACTAATGTCCTTCAGAGAAGGAAATCTGCCATCTTCACCTGGTCTGGCCTATATGTGACTCCAGACCCACAGCAATGCAGTTGGCTCTCAACTGTCCTCAGAAATGGCCTAGCAAGCCAGTTCAACGATAGCTAGGGACAGGCACCAAATACAGGCCGACCAGCGTCACCCATGTCCCATGAGTGAATAGAGAAAAGAAATATTTTAACATAAATGTAGGATGACATTGACAACTTTATTAGAGTCCTCTGAAAATGTAACAAACAATCGACAATTGTGAGGCTCCGGTCACATTGCATTCGGAATATGAGAGTTATATGATGCTCATATTCGGAATATGAGGAAGGGTCACTGGACCCGAAACCTTAACTCTGATTTCTCTCCACAGATACTGCCAGACCTGTGAGCTTTTCCAGTAATTTCTGTTTTTGTTTGGAATATTTTTGGGCCTCTTTCTAAAGAAGGATCTGCTGGCCTTGGAGTGGGGCCAGAGGAGACTCAAAATGAAGGGCTGGTCAAATGTGGAGTGGTTGAGGTTTCTCAGTCTATACCTGATGGAGTTTAGAAGGATGAGGGGGATCTCACTGAAACTTACAGAGGCCTGGACAGAGTGGACATGGGTAAGATATTTCTTCTAGTAGGAAAGGCTAAGGGATGAATTTCTTCAGCCAAATGGTGGTGAATCTGTGGAACTCATTGTTGCAAAAAGCTGTGGAGGCCAAGTCATGGAGTGTATTTAAGACAGAGATAGATAGGTTCTTGATTAGTATGGGATCAAGGGTTATGGGGAGAAGGCAGGAGAGTGTGTTGAGAAATGTATCAGCCACGATCGAATGTGGGATATGAGATGATGGGCCTAATGGCATCCTATATTTTATGGTCTTATGGACAAAAGTGAACCAGTAGATGTTGGTGTAGTTAGATTTCTGAAAGCAACAGGATAAGATCACAGATTTTGTTACAGTGCAGGAGGAGGCCATTCTGGCTATCACCCATGCATCAGCTTGTTTAATGAGCATCATACTGAGTGGCCAATCTGCTGCTTCTTCCTTGTACCCCTGCACTTTATTTTTATCCAAATACCCACCCATTGCCCTCTCGCATGCCTCAGTTCAACCTTCCTCCACCACATTTCCAGGCAGTGCATTCCAGACTCTAAGTACTCGCTGTGTGAAAAGGTTTCTCCTCACATCACCCATAATTCTTTTGCAGATCACTTTAAATCCATGCCCCCTCATTATGTTTCTTTTGTGAGTGGGAACGGTTCCTCCCTATCTAACTTATCCAGCCCGCTCATAATTTTGAAAGCCTCTACTAGTTCTTCTCTCGACCTTCTTCTCCATAAGAAGAACAGACCCAATTTCTTCAGTCTACCCTCATCACTGGAGCGGCACGGTGGCTCAGTGGTTAGCACTGCTGCCTCACAGCGCCAGGGACCTGGGCTTGATTCCAGCCTCGGTCGACTGTCTGTGTGGAGTTTGCACATTCTCCCTGTGTTTACGTGTGTTTCCTCCCATAGCCCAAAGATGTGCGGGTTAGGTGGATTGGCCATGCTAAAATTGCCCCATGGTGTCCAGGAATGTGCAGTCTACATGGGTTGGCCATGGGGAATTGTAGGGTTACAGGGTTTGAGTGGGATACTGTTTGGAGAGTTGGTGTGAACCCAATGGGCTGAATGGCCTGGTTCCCACATTGTAGGGATTCTACTTAAAATAAACATAAGTTCCTCATCCCGGGAAGCATTCTTGCAAACCGACTCTGCACTCTATCTGATGTCTTTATCTCCTTCCTACAATGTGGCATCCAGAATGCCATATAAAGAGTTGCTGCAAAGGATAGCGATCATGGTGTTGGGCTTTATATTTTAGAATGGTTAGAGAACTGGCCAACCAACAGGAAACAGAAAATTAGGATAAATTAGTAAGTTGTGATGAAGCCATTTGCTGATGGTACAAAGATAGGCAGGAAATAAGTTGTGAGGATGTTACAAGGAGTCTGCAAAAATTAAGTTAGAGGGCAAAAATATTGGCAGATGAAGTGTAATGAGGAAAATGCACTGTACTGAATTAGTTTTACTGTCCTATGTACTTGCCCACATGAGTACAGCAGTAGCATGTCAGCACTGAAAAGCAGGATATAATTTAAAGAGGGAGACTGGAAAATACTGCAGTGCACAAGAATGTGGTTGTATCTGCTCAGGAATCGCAAAATGTTAGCATGTAAACACAGCAAGACGTTAAGATGGCAGTTGGAATGTTGGCCTTCATTGCAAGGGAGGTGGAGTAGAACAATATGGGGAAGTACAAGGAATTGGTAGACTGTACCTAGAGTACTGTGTACAGTTTTGATCTCCATACTTAGGGAGGAAAGCTAATGGAATTGGAAGCAGTTCAGAGAATCTTCATCATGCTAGCTTGACAGGGTGATCTTCTTGGAGTCAAGAAGCTTCTGAGAG